CACCAGACGTGTGGGAGCGAAGCAAAATAGGGTACGAACGCGGAATATGGGAGGTAGGACGAGCACAAGACGGACGACGAGCCCAGACGTGAGACGGAGGAGTCGGGTCAGGAGAGAGGGGAGGAGACACTGGAGGAGAACAAGGAGGGAAACGAGCCAGAGAAGAGTCCACGGGAGGAAACATAGGGCCGTAGACCGGCAGAGGAGGAGGCGGCGGCGACTCAGGAGGCACCGGCGGGCGGTCAGGAGAAGGAAGGCCGAGGAGGCAAAGAGCGGACACCGGCGGCGACTACGGCGGCTGCTGCCCAACACCAACACCAGAACCTCTAGCGGCACCACGGCTCCATCCGAGAAGCTCCACGCTAGCACCCCCAGAATGGGAACCCGCTCCAGTACCCGCTCCTGCACACTCACCAGCACCCCCAGAACGCACAAACCCCAGCGGCGGTGACGACGGCGACTGCGGCTGCGGCGGCGACGGCAGCTGCGGAGGCGGCTGCGACTGGGACAGCAATGGCGGTGACAGGGAAGGAGAGACCGGGGCGGGGACAGGCGGGGAAAGGGACTCTGTCAAGCCGCGAGAGTCAGCAGACCCCTCAGCAGGGACAACCGACGGGAGGGGGGTGGCGTGAGGCACAACAGACGGGGCAGGGCGGGGAGGAGGGGGAACAGGGGCGACCGGGGGAGGGGGGGTACCTGAAACTGGGGGGGAGTGACCGGGGGACCACGGTGGGGAAAGCGGTGGTAGAAGGAGACGGACTCGTCAAAGGTGACGTCGCGAGAGTGAAAGAAACGGTGAGACGGCGAGTGGTAGAAGTGCCAGTCAGACGAGTCGAGGGGGAAACCTAGGAAGACACAGGGGACGGTGCGGCTAGTGAGCTTGTCCGTGCCAGAGGCACGAACGTGAGCAAGGCAGCCCTAGACGTGGAACACAGACGCGTCACCAGGAGACCCGGTCCAGAGGAGAGTCGGCGAAACCTGCGGCCGCTGAGGGTGCGGGCACAGGTTAAGCTGGTGGGCGGCGTAGCGAACGGCGAACGACCACAGAAAATGGGGTGCACCGGCATGGATCATGGAGGTACGAGCCACCTCCATGACCAAGCTGATGCGTCACTCAGCGACCCCATTCTGCTGGGGGAGTTCGGCAGCGTGTATGTCTGGGTGATGCCCTCCGCACGACAGAAGCAACCAAGGCAGCGAGAGGCGAACTCGCCACCACGGTTGGAGTGAAGTCGCAACACAGGGAGACCTCGGTGCACACGCGCAGAGACAAGCCACGGGATAAGAACGTCGGGCACATCGGCCTTCCGCTCCAGGGGAAACACGGTGGTATAGCGAGTGTATTCATCGACAAGCACTAGGAAGTAACGCTTACGACGTGGCCAATGGATGGGGGCGGGGCCCCAGACGTCCATGTGCAGGGTCTGTAACGGTGCGGTAGTGGGGGGGAACGAGGAGGAGTGAGGGGTACGGCAGAGCCGGCCCTCGACGCAGGGGGTGCACGGAGGTGCTGCCAAGGAGGGGAGCGCAGGGAACGACGCAGGGAGACCTAAGACAAGACCGTGCTGAGATATGTAACGGAGACATGTGAGGGCGGGGTGACCTAGGCGATGGTGCCACAGAAGCGACGGGGGAGTAAGCGACCGACACGAGCAAGCCCGCAGCAACGTGGGTAGACGCTGCCACCTGGGGGGGCGTCCTAACCGGGGGGGACACGGTGTCCAGCGTGAACAGGGCAGACACCAGGTCCCTGGGGAACGTGGTGAGGGGGGCACCAGTGGCGGCCTCGGTACAGACAGCATACCTCTCGTGACCAGGGAACGTAGTGGTGACGCCGAGGTCCTGAGGACAGCCGACACCAACAAGATTCCGAGAGAACGAGGGGATGTGTAGGCCTGTAAGAGAGCCCGAAGGAACAACCGGATAGGGGAGAGTGGTGGAACTACGGGCGAATACCGAACCTGAGGAAGGGTCTGCAAGGGCAACTGCGGTAAGGACGGCAAGCGGCAAAAGCATAGTGTGGTCCCAAAAGAAACACCGAGACGCGTCAGAGTCGAGAGTGAAGGAGGGCGCGGTAGTGGCGGCTAGGGGCGGAGGAGCTAGGATGGAGCCAAGGCTAAACACAGCAAAGGGTCCTATGCCTGACACAGCAGGGGAGCCTAAACTAGGCACACCGGACACACCTACATTAGGCAATACGGGGTAAGAGGAACCAATCACATAAGAGTCATCGACATACAACACATACAATGCAGAGCTAATATCATCCATGTCCATATCAAAGATCCTAACACCACGGCGGAGCAGACTGTGCCAGTCGAGGAGGTCCGGCGCGGAGCCGAAGCGGAGACGAAACAGGTCGTCTAGGTGACTGAAACGGCGAGTAGGGGTATGACCGGTCTTACCGCACACGAGGCCGCGGCGAGGACCGGTCTGGAGCTGGTACTGGCAGCGCCCGTCACTCGCACCACCACCCAATAACGAGCTACGCGCTCGACCACCGTGACCACCGTGACCACCACCGGCGCCAAGCCACCTAGGCGAGAGGCGGCCGACCCTCAGCAGCGACTGCTGCTGCTACGGCTAGTCAAGCTGTGGCGCCTGCTGCTGCTCCCGCTGGGGCTACTGCTCCGAGGCACGAGCCACAGCCCCCTCATCGGTACTATCACCAGCGCATGAACCACCTCCACCACCACCTCCACCCCCTCCTCCACTACCACCGCCGCGCCCAGCCTTGGGGCGGCAGGCCTTACCATAACGGAACTGCGCTGCGGCCACCGCCGCAATGGTCTCAGCAGCAGGGGCTGTCTCAGCGACAGCCGCAGAACCATCAGAGTAAGTGCAATGAGCAGAGGCACAATCTTGAAAGATAGGGACCGGCACAGTACCGCTAGACTAGGCGATAAAGCGCTGACGGATCTCTATGGCAGACAGGGTGTCGACAGAGTCAGAGAGGGTGAGGCCAGCGGGGTGCAGACTAAGAAAGTGGTCGCGGGCAGTGGCAAGGTGGTCGGGGAGGCGGGTGGCAAGCAGGTAAAGGGTAAAGCAAATAGGGGGTTGGAACACACGAAGCTGGGCCTCAGTGGAAGCAGCGCGCCAGCTAGCGTCGAGCGTGCGCAGGTGCCTGGCCAGATCAGCGACAGTGGGGAAAGATGCGAGATCAGGGAAGAGCATGGGAAGGATCAGGCGGCCGGCAGAGGCAGAGGACGGGTTTGAATAGCGCTCGACAACAGCCTCGAGGAACTCCTGCGCAGTCCTGACCGACTTAAAACGGGGGCGCTCAGACAGGGGAGGGCATGGCTAATCGCGAGCTGAGCGACAGCGTCACGCGACAGCCAGATAGCACGAGCAAGGGCAGCAGCGGCGGCGAACTCACGGTCAGCAGACGTGGGGTCAGCGGGGAGAGCAACAAGGGGGGCAGGGCAGGGGAGCGTACCGTCAATGTGGACGACCAGGGAGTGGCCGTCCTGCCGCTGACCAGTGAGGTGAGGGCGGAGGTCGACGAGCCATGAATCGATCTCCACTGGCTGACCCTCCGCGTCAAAACGCAGCACCGAGTCCGCCATGAAGGCCGCTGCAGCCGCGAACAGGCGGTGAAGGAGCGACAAGGAGTCGTGGGGAGGAGTGCTATACGGTGCACTGCGGTGGTGTGCGGTGGGGCGCCGTGCAGTGCAGTGCCATACGATGCAGAGCGGTGCAGTGCGGTGGGGCGCGGTGCAGTACGGTGCAGTGAGGTGGGGCGCGGTGCAGTGCAGTGCGGTGCTGAGAAGTGCAGAACGGTGGGGCGCGGTGCAAGACGGTGGAGAGGGCCGGTGAAGTGGGCGAGGACCGGGAAACACGGCGGCAGAGCCGCTGGGAGATGGGGCCGCGGGGCGGCCGGGCGACGGGGCCGCGGGGCGGCTGGGCGACGAGGCCGCGGAGCAGCGGGGCGACGGGTCGCGGGGCGGCTTGGCGACGTGGCCGCGGAGCCGCTGAGAGACGGGGCCACAGGGCGGCTGGGCGACGGGGCTGCAGGACGGCTGGGCGACGGGGCTGCGGAGGAGCGGGGCGACAGGTCGCGGGGCGGCTGGGCGACGGGGCCGCGGAGCAGCGGGGCGACGGGGCCGCGGGGCGGCTGGACGACGAGGCCGCGGGGCGGCTGGGCTACGGGGCCACGGAGCGGCTAGGCGACGGGGCGGCTAGGCGACGGGGTGGCTAGGCCACGGGGCGGCTAGGCGACGGGGCGGCAGGGCGGCTACGCTAGGGGCGATGCGGCCGGGGGGGCAGCAGGGCGGCTAGGCACTGGGCGACGGGGCGACAGGGCCATGGGCGGCTGGGCGCTAGGTGACGGGGCCGCGGGGCCAGCGGGGCGGCTAGGCGCTAGGTGGCGGGGCAACGGGGCCAGCTGGGTGGCTAGGCGCTAGGTGACGGGGCCGCGGGGCCAGCGGGGCGGCTAGATGCTGGGTGACGGGGCGACGGGGCCACGGGCGGCTAGGAGCTAGGTGACGGGGCCGTGGGGGCTAGGCTCTAGGTGACGGGGCCGCGGGGCCACGGGCGGCTAGGCGCTGGGGAACGGGGCCGTGGGGCCAGCAAGGCAAGGGGGCAGCGTGCCCCGTGGGGCGGCTAGGCGCTAGGCGACGGGGCTGGCTAGGACCAAAGGCGGAAGCGCGGGTGGGCGGGGGGGACCTAACCTTCTCATGATACCATCTCAGAGTTAGAAGTGTTGACTAGAATGAGAGTATACAGGGGTATATAGCTAGTGGGTTGTACTCTCTATGGCAAGCCCCTATGTAGTCTACTAAACATACACAAATATGCTTGACAATAAATTCACCAGTCCTAACCACTGGGAAAGAAGGGAGGGATATCCCAAGGAGAGTTAGGCTCCATTTGTCCACCTTCCCCTAGGAAAGCCTACCTAGTAGGTACCCTCCCTAGAGAGAGGAGAGGACAGCTTCAACAGGGCTATCCCAGTGCCACGACAGGTCAACGACCGTTGCACTTCGTACCTCGCATCACAGGCTTGGACTTGACAAGGGTTACGGCTTGAGTGTCACTTTCAGGAATGTAACAACTGGCTTATGGTAACAAATCGTCTAAAACCAGCATGCTCGATTTCTGCATTTGAATTCTCCAAAACATTTACCTCTGAGAACTATCAACTATCCATTTCCATCTACTAGATGGTGACACAGTTGAGCATGTTCAGGGCTTGAGCAGCCACACCAGCAGCCCACCGACAACAGTGCCTGCAGCAAAGGACATGGTGCTGCCTGAGCCTCCGTCTGCTGGCTTGGCAGACTCGGCAGCCTTCTGAGCCTCCTTGGCGGCCTTGAGTGCCTCGTGTGCCGATGCTGCATGTGCCGCTGCCTCATCCTTGTGCGCCTCCAGTTGCTGTGGGGGGAGGCAGAGGGGAATAGGGAATACAGGAATGAGGGGGATGAGAAGCCTTGGGTGCCTCATAGATACGGTAACTGCCTCCTTATGCACCTCCAGTTGTTGTGAGGAGAAGGGGGTTGAGAAGGAGCGGGCAAGGACGTGTGCAGATCGTAACGAGCTTGACCCTCCTTGGCTGTGTCAGTCATGTGCTGCTGCTGCATACGCTGCTGCATATGGTGCTGCATGCAGAGCTGCCTGCGCCTTGTGCAACTCTATTTGCCAGCGGTGATGTGTATGGAGGAACAGTGGGAAAGGAGAGGGGACAGGGGAAGTGGGGAAGCGGGAGGCAGGGAAGACAGTGAGGTGAGAAGAGATCAAGAAACGCGGCAGGGAGGAAGGGGATGGAGAGGGGGACGAGAAAAGGGAGAGGCGGACGAGAAACGAGAAAAACAGGTTGCATGTGTTGCAGCTGTCGCTGGTAGCTCTTGTGGGCATCCATAACAGATGAAAACGAAAGGAACACCGGGGAGAAAGGCGGGAGGGAGGAGAGGGAGGGGAGGGAAAGGGTGAAAGAGGCCAGGAAAATGATATATATATACAGGGTGAAATGCAGGGTGGAAGAAAAAATTGCACGTAGGGTCATGTGGGAGGACACATGGGATTGAGAAAGGAGCATGCATCAAGATGAGCCACTGATGAGCTACTGGTGAATGGGCGGAGTGAGGCCTAGCTTGTGATGGGCAGGGAGATAGTAGTCTCGTTTTGAGACGTCACAAAACTTAACTACAATCAAGTGCATCCGGACATTGAAGGAGCTACTGATGCATGATCGGGCAAGAGCAAGACCCTAGCTCTGGACGACCAGGGCTCTAGACTTTGGAGGGCTGGGCGACTGGTTGACCGTTATGACCGTTTGACTCGATCCCTGAACTACAATCCAATGCATCCGGACACTGAAGGAGCTACTGATGCATGAGCGGAGCGAGGCATGGATTGTGAAGGGCAGGGAGGTCTTACGGCCTTGAGCTTTTCGAGCTTCTCGTGCTCTTGTTTCTGCATAAACGCATTAATGGATGGATGCATGGACGCAGGGATGGAAGTAGCCACATTCCAAGTCGCATTGCACATTCAAATCCGGCAGCGCATTCCAGATCACATTCACATTCCAGCAGCATTGACACATTGGAGATCACACACACAATCGCCAGCGTCCCAGCACACATGCCAGCACACATGCCAGCACACATGCCAGCACACATGCCAGCACACATGCCAGCACACAAGCCAGCACACATGCCAGCACACATGCCAGCACACATGCCAGCACACATGCCAGCACACAAGCCAGCACACATGTCAGCACACAAGCCAGCACACATGCCAGCACACATGTCAGCACACATGCCAGCACACATGTCAGCACACATGCCAGCACACATGTCAGCACACATGCCAGCACACATGTCAGCACACATGCCAGCACACATGCCAGCAAGCATGCACAGATCAGAGGTGAACATATGCAGAAGGGAAAACACAGCTTAGTTTGAAACGAAGGATCATGTAGTCATGGGTTGCTGTGACCTATTCTCCCTCTTCTTCGTGGAGAATAACGACCCCTTTACAAGCACACACGTTTTGAGCACGCATCTGGAAGAAGACGGTGTTGACGGAGTGCTCCTCTTCCCCCAGCACCTTTACGCCATAGCTCATCGCCCTCTGCTATACCAGCTACGATGATGCACCCGAAACATACCCTTTACACGCACACTTCACCACAAGCACAATGCTTCAAAAACACGCATTTGGAAGCAGACGTTCTCGACAGAGTGCTCCTGTCCCCCCAGCGCCTTTCCGCCATAGCTCATGGCCCTCTGTCTACCAGCTACGATGATGCGCCCGAAACATACCTTTTACACGCACACTTCGTTACGAGCTCGATCCGTTACAAGCACGCACCTGAAAATACACGTTCTCGATGGCGTGCTCCTGCTCCCCCAGCACCTTGCTGCTCTGGCTCATCGCCCGCCGGCATACCACCTCGGTCGGGTTCGCTGGGAGACCAGCCAGGCGCCTCGCCGCGAGCCGGGCGATCTGAGAAGCCATGGCGATGAAATACTCTGGCGAAGCGAGGCACGACGACGATATTAGTGGAACTTCAAAGAAGCATTGAAAAAAAGGGGTCCACGAAGAGAAGCGGAAGGACACTGCAATGTTGCCTTCCTTACTCACATACAGGATTGAAAGGCGCTTCTGCTGTGCGGATTCTCCTGGTGGATGATCAGACGGAAATGGAAAGTATGGAAGAACGGATGCTAGACTCCACGAACAGTAAGGGTCTTGGCGCGAACGGTGGGAGACGGATTTGTGGTGAAGATGAGCGCGCGGAGCGGATGGATGGCGGAAAGAGCGGCGGAATAATCGGAATGGAGGACAGGAGAGTGTCAACGGCGAGAAGCTGGAATGGAATCCGTGAAATGGCATCTAGGTTCTAGAACTTGTGGGAGGTAGGCATGTTGCGCCGATTGGGGGGGAAAGGGGGGGGGGGTGGTTCGGGGAAGGGGGGATGGGGGGTGGGGGGAAGAGATGAGAGAAGGGACAAGCGGAAGACTGGGATCGGCGGAGGGAACGAGCGGAGAACAAGGGGGAGCGGAGTGCTGGTGGTGATGCTGGGGGGTGGGGTGCGGCGACATTCAATGTACGGGCGAACAATTTTATAACGGTAACTTTGCGACGCTCTGTACCGTGGCGAAGTCACTACCCACGTCGTCAGGAAAATTTGGCTCTGGCGACGCCCCCATTCATGTTATCGCAAAACCACATCAGCAAGCGGAGGGCTGGCCCAAACGAACGATTGTTCCTCCAATCAGAGGGCCTCGAAGCTTGCTCATTGTGACGTGGAAGATCTGTCCTCCCATTTAGGCAGGCCATCCCTCCCCTTGATCTTGCGGCTGGGGCCCAATAAGCGAGTTTCAATCAACAAGAGCCTACACAGCTTAGATTTCGCAGCTAATCATCGCCCATTTCGCAACTCCTCGTTAGGACTTTATGAGCTGAAGTTTGTTGTGGTTTGGGTTGGTTCTCTGACGCACTAGGTGGACCACGAGTCTCGCAATTTACGGTTACCACATAAGGAGTGAGGGAAAAGGGAAAACCTGACAGGAAATCCTGTCTGATTCAGCCGTTCTCCCCGAAGTCGCCTCGAAAGAGACGACGTTTCTCGAGTCGTCATGTGGCGCCTTGCTCGCGTTGCTTCTAGATCAGCATGCCACGCGCCGTATCTGATATCGGAGTCGCTAGCTGCTGCTGGTGGGGAGAGTTGGGCTGGCGGCTGCATAACCGGTTTAGTTTCAGACGCCACTCCCGTCTTTCGCGTGCGTTGAATCCATGACTCTTTCATCCTTTTTTTGGTCTCTCGTACCTTAACGGCGCCTCTCGGTACCGTTCATGTCTCGCGATCAGCGTTTGCATCTTCGCTTTGGTTGGTTTGATGAATACCTTGAGAGAAAATCCGGTTTCGGTAGTAATTTCTCTTGATCCTGACAGTGTCTTTTCAATGCTACGTCTTCCGCGTCTGTTTGGAGTCTGGGCTCTCAAACGGTGCATCCATGCAAAAATGGTCTGTGATTTGCCGCTTTTCAGAACATCAGGCTCCTGGCGAGTGCTCTACGTGAATCCACGTCGGCATCATCGTCAGCAGCAGCGAGCATATCACCGCCAGTTGCTGATACAGGAGGACCGCCAAGACCTAGCAGCGGTGCTACAGACCCCCCACTACCAGCGGCAGCAGCACCACTGCTAGCAGCGTCAGGCACAGCAGCAGCAGCAGCAGCAGCAGGGGTGGAGAGGTGTTTGACGTGGCGATCGTTGGTGGGGGTCTCATTGGCGCTGCTGCAGCGTGTGCGCTGTGTAAGGCATCCAAACTACAGTGTAGTGCTGATTCATTACGATTCTTGCATTCTGCTTCCCCAGCTAAACCACAATATCCTTTTTTTTCCTATTATGGTGAGCCAGGTTACATGATTCTCTTTATCCTGATCGTATTGCTCCACGTGGTATTGCCTCCTTTAAACCCTTATCCTCCCCTCCATTCCGTCACTCATCTCCACTTGTGCTGCTGCAGCCACAAGTCGGCTAACGTAGGTGATTTCTGAGTCAACTCAAAAATCACCTCAAAAAATCACCTTTTTGAGTCGACTAAAAAATAACCCTCCCACTCCCCTACTACTCATCCTCACTTGTGCTGCTGCAGCCACAAGTCGGCTAACGCGAGACCTCCGCATCGCTCTGATCGATGCTGTTCCCCTCAGCCAGACACCGCAAACAACTACCACGACCAGCAGCAGCAGCAGCAGCAGTAGCAGTCCCGCACCTGATGCCAGGGTGATTGCCGTCAACCCCTCATCCATCGACCTCCTGAAACGTGAGTATCCGGCTAGCTTCTTACATTGTAAGCTCGAAGTGGACAGAAGCACAAATCAAGACGCACAAGATCGTCCCCGTATACTTGTTTTCTGCAGCTGCTGCACTGAAGAACTCTTTTTTCCCAACCTCGCAGGTGTGGGGGTTTGGAATGACATTGCGTCTGACACTGTTCGTGCTGCTCCGTTCCAACACATGCAGGTGTGTGCCATGTTCACTGGTTTACCGTTTTATGGAGGGTGTGTGGGTGTGTGTGTGTGTGTGTGTGTGTATGTGTGTGTGTGTGTGTGTGCTGTGTGTGTATGTGCGTGTGTGCGTGCCCGTGCGTGTGCACAGTTCGCCCTTGCTTATCGCATACAGTTCAAGCTTGTCTCATCCCATGCATCCCTGATTGCATCCCTGATTGCATCCCTGATTGCATCCCTGATCGCATCCCTGATCGCATCCCTGATCGCATCCCTGATCGCATCCCTGATCGCATCCCTGATCGCATCCCTGATCGCATCCCTGATCGCATCCCTGATCGCATCCCTGATCGCATCCCTGATCGCATCCCTGATCGCATCCCTGATCGCATCCCTGATCGCATCCCTGATCGCATCCCTGATCGCATCCCCGATCGCATCCCTGATCGCATCCCTGATCGCATCCCCGATCGCATCCCCGATCGCATCCCTGATCGCATCCCTGATCGCATCCCTGATCGCATCCCTGATCGCATCCCTGATCGCATCCCTGATCGCATCCCTGATCGCATCCCTGATCGCATCCCTGATCGCATCCCTGATCGCATCCCTGATCGCATCCCTGATCGATCCCTGATCGCATCCCTGATCGCATCCCTGATCGCATCCCTGATCGCATCCCTGATCGCATCCCTGATCGCATCCCTGATCGCATCCCTGATCGCATCCCTGATCGCATCCCTGATCGCATCCCTGATCGCATCCCTGATCGCATCCCTGATCGCATCCCTGATCGCATCCCTGATCGCATCCCTGATCGCATCCCTGATCGCATCCCTGATCGCATCCCTGATCGCATCCCTGATCGCATCCCTGATCGCATCCCTGATCGCATCCCTGATCGCATCCCTGATCGCATCCCTGATCGCATCCCTGATTGCATCCCTGATTGCATCCCTGATTGCATGCCTGATTGCAGCCCTGATTGCATCCCTGATTGCATGCTGCGCCACGTGTCACTCCCCATTCACCCCTGCTCCCGAGTCTGTCTCTCTGCGTTCCCAGCTCTTCCTCTCATCTGGACGTCTTCTGAGTCGGCTCAAAAGTCACCCCTGCTCTCGAGTCTGTCTATCTGCGTGCCCTGCTCGTTCTCTCGTCCCTCTCTAGGTGTGGGACTTTGCCGGCCCAGGTTTCATTCGCTTCAATGCTTCTGACAGCCGACTCCCGCACCTAGGGTGAGCGCCCTCTTTCATGCCGTGACATGCCAAGCAGTACCCTACCATGCCTCCACCATACTTCATGGGTCCTGGTTCCGTCCGCTTCATTGTTATACCGCAACGTGTTGTGCTGGGCTATGCTGTGCCATGCCATGCCATGCCATTTTGCATTTCCTCAATGCCCCTGTGACGTGCCGTTGTGTTGTTCATCACGCATGCTGCTCCTTGCTTTTTTCTTCCGCCGATTCCCAACTGCTCAACTTTCATTCACCAATCATTCCCCTTTCTTTACAACCACTGCCCCCCCCCCAACCACCCTCTTTCCATACTCAGGTACATAGTTGAGAATAAGCTGATCGTATCTAGCCTCCTTCGAAGAATACAGGTGTGTCTGCGAATCAGGAGAACCTTCGAAGTGCAGTGTCAACCTGCTATCTGCCATTGTAATTTTGGCAGACACACCTGTGAGATGGCTGTCTGTGCTGTGACTTCAGGGATCTTCGGACTTTGAAGTCGTGTGTTAGATCCACTCACCGATCTCTGTCGGTGCCTCTTCCAAGTGGCAGTGCGCATTTGATCTATTCATCAATTTCATACAGCACTTCCATCTTTTCCCCGTTCGGCATGCATCCTTGCACATCCATGCACACGTCATCTCACACTCACACCCGTGCCTCTTTCCCCATGTGCTCCCATGCAGGCCCATCCCTCAGTCTCTCTCATCGCTCCAGCAAAGCTCCAAACCATCAAATGGCCAAAGCCATATGACTCCTTTCCCACTGTCACTCACAATTCAGTCAAATCTGAATCAGGGCCTCTTGGCCCCTTAGGCAGCAGTGGGGACGGGGATGGGGATGGGGATGGTTTAGCAGAGATCCACTTTGAGAGTCGCCCACCCATTCAAGCAAGGCTTGTGGTAAGCCCCTTCGTCTCTTCCTCCTATGTCACCCCCTTGATCAAATCGCTGCTTGTTGCCTTTGGTTGCCTTTGGTTGCCTGTTCACCTGATCCCCTTACCCCCCCTCCGTCTCTCATTTTTATCATCAATTGGTCCTTCGTATCACCTCTTTTGTATCATCCCATCCCCTCCCCCCCACCTCCTCCTTCCCCTCCCCACCTCTTCTCAGATCGGAGCCGATGGTTCTCGATCTCGTGTCCGCTCCCTTGCAGGCCTCCGCACCGTCGGATGGCCGTATCACCAGCGAGGTGTGATCTCCACCGTCGATCTCGCCTCTCCCAGCATCACAGCCTGGCAGCGGTTCCTCCCCTCAGGCCCCCTCGCCCTCCTCCCCCTGGGCGATAACTTCAGCAATGTTGTGTGGTCAACCACCGAAGAGCACGCCCTTAAGCTACAATCTATGAGCCCAGGAGAATTCGCTGGTGCGGTTAATGAGGCGTTCCGGAAGGACTTTGCTTCGCCTGGGCTATCCCAAGGGACTTTGAAGCTGCCTTTTGTGCCCTCGTCTGCTGCTGCTGGTGCTGCTGGTGCTGCCGCTGCTACCTCGGGTGCTGCTGCTGCCGTGGCAGCAGCTGCCAGTGCTGTTTCTGCTGCAGCTGCCGCAGCAGGGAATCTTGCTGCGGCCTCCCTATCCTCTGCGCTTGCATCAGCAACCCCCTTACAGTCACTCTTTGCACAAGCCCCACCAATCCCTTATACAGTTCAGGTGCTGCTGATCAGTTCCAGATCCCTCCAGAAGTTTTATCTGCCCGGAGCAAGGTTCTTTCTTTCCCATTGTCGCTGCAGAATGCAGGCTCTTATGTTGCACCAAGATGCGTTCTTGTGGGGGATGCAGCGCACACGGTGCACCCGCTGGCAGGTCAAGGAGCTAACCTGGGCTTTGGGGATGTTACGGCGCTTGTAACGGTGCTAGAAAGGCTGGTGGAAGTTGGGGAAGATATTGGAGAGGTAAGTGGATTTGCAACTAAAACTATAGAAAGTTGTGTGATGTGATTTGACGCCTTGCTGGTTGTGTTGTGCAGGTGTCGCTTTTGCATTCGTATGAAAGGGAACGCCAAGCTGCTAATATAGCCATGATGGGGGCGATGGACTTCTTGAAGAGAGTGTTTGCCACGGACACATTCCCCGTGGCGAATGCACGTAGTGCAGGGCTTTCTATCCTCAACTCGTCGCCGCTGGCTAAGCTAAACTTTGCCGCATTTGCGTCAGGCACTATTCTTTGAGAAATGTTGGTTTTCTTGTGAAGGGTTTTTGTAATCGACTTTCTTATCGTCGTTTTACTGTATAGCAGTTGAATGTATTAGGCGGAAAACGGGTTGGGGTCTACTGTAGGAGGCAGGCGCGGCAGGCACGTGCAGCCAGCCTCAGAGATGGTCGATTGGGCGTCATGGTTCTGTCAGTCTCCAATCACATTGCAGCGTTCCAAACTGGAAACCTGAGTTGGACTGACACGTCCTCCCTCTGTGTTGCCAACATCGATGTGTCAATGCGATCCTGGCGAAGTCTAACGAAGGGTTGTCTGGAGAGGGGTTCAACGAGGAAACGACATATATATACCAGGTTCAAAACGTATCCGACAGGAATGTACCCGAATATTTGAATCAGCGATTGTCTGTAGAGTCACCCAATCCTGACACAGTCAGCCACACAATGGTTCTGCGCAGCAGACAAAACTATAAACCCATAGGGGCCCAGCATGTAACTCAGGGTGGCATCAACCCTAAACTCGAAAAAGGGTCGCGTGTTCAGGGTTGATGCCATCTCGAATTGCATGTCGAGCCCCTATGGGATTTATCTACATCCTGAGTTCGAAAGAGAAACGCCACTTATTCTAGACGCGGAGGCTTCTGTAGAATTGGTTGTTTCTGTTCATTAGCTCAACCAACAGTTCACGAACATGACATTTGCTTACAATTTGTGCGGCTTCGATAAGTGTGCAGTTGTTTCGACCGAATAGGGCTCTAATTCAGTCAGTTGCCTAGGGGTCATACCATGCTGAGTCATCGAGGCATTTCCCGTTTGCGGTGTTCTGTTGATTTCCATTGCCCTCGTATCCTTCGCGGCTTCGCGAAAAACGCGAAAGGCCATTTGGGCCTAGATGAACTGCCCTTGCAACACCTTTCGAAAATATGTGGCAAAAACCAGAAGGCTGCAACTGCTTCGTCGCTGTCCGCATGTTCATCGTCGCTGTCATGATGACTCAGCACAGTAGCCGGCTCGGAGGACTCTCGAAACGGATACTGCCCGTAAAATTCTGCTATTGAGCGATGAGGGGCGACTGGGATTTGTTTTGGGCAGAGCACTTTGCGGACATCGTGTGTATTTGCCCAAAACGCTGCCCAAAATATCATTGTCTAGTTTGGCGTTTTCTGCCGAATTGCAGCGCAACAAATTTTGCTGGGTAAATTTGTCGGGCATGCACAATTCTACACGTCAGTCCGAAACAGTTGAATGCGCATGCCCAAGAATCTCGCCTCTCGTTGGCGCGAAATATTCGGAACAATTATTGTCGGATTAGTTTAGATTTGGGTTTATATTTTTCGTTTCCTCGGACCAAACCCTCACAATGTCTGTCTGTTGGACTCCAAGACTGCAGGGCTTGGATGTTGGTCATGAAGCCGCCCCCATAACCTATCCTGACTTGCCTCTCTCTGGCATTTCTTGTTTTTGGGTGACAATTCTAGCATTAGCTCTTATTTGCCTCCATTCCTCATCGTCCTGTCCTTGTTTCTGTGGTCTGACTGCTTGGATTCAAACCTAGCCGAGAACCCTATTTCAGTTGCTACCAAGTTCTCATCGCGATTATGGCTGAGGAGGCCGTTGTGAAGAAGCGGAAGGTGATGGTGGCGCTTGACGGCAGCGACTTCAGCCGCCAGGCGTTTGACTTCGCCGTCGCAAAGATTTTCCGACCGGAGAAGGACCTTGTGGTGCTGTTCAACGTCCGAGCTGCTAGCGGTGATGGTAAGTTGCCGCTGTTTTGTGAAACATGACATACTTTCGCTAACACCCCGTTCGTACTGCAGAATCTTATTTGTAGCGCTATACACTTCACTAAGAGCAACAATATTATGTTCCGTTGAATGCACGGGGAACAATACCCCTATCTTCTCCCATGGCTTTTTTAGTTGCTGTGCTCACAGAATGTCTAACGTGCGTCCGCGGTCTAGCTTGAAGGTTGGTTGAAATTACTGAACTGCACGCCTATTCTGCGTTCATGCCCCTGTACGCGTGTCTAACGCGGCGAATGCCTTCTTCGTGCTGCATGAATTGGCAGCACGCTACTTTATCCTCCCGAGCATCTCAATTTGAGATTTCTGGAATCATATTTCCCATTTTTCTTCCAGCTGGTGCTGAGAACCCTATTTTGGAGGAGTACAAGAAGCTGGCGGAGGAGAAAGGGTTGGAACACGTGACAATTGAGGAGAAGGGAGACCCAAGGCAAGTTTTTTGGGCTGAGGCGTTTTTCCACATCGCCTTAGCCTTTCTGTGGGATGCATTTTCTGTTTTTGGACCTCACTGGTTGAAGTCCGGAGATGGTGTCCTCATGTAAGAACCCTGTTCTTCTGTGGTTGACAACAGGGAGGCAATTATCAGCACTGTGGAGAAGGAGAGTGTTGATCTGCTTGTGATTGGCAGCCATGGGAAGGGCATGACCAAGCGCTTGCTGCTGGGGAGTGTGTCGGACTACTGCGCTCATCATTCCTCTTGCCCGGTGCTGATTCACCGACCCCAGCCTAAGAAGGCTTGAAGTTGTAGATAAAGTGGGTGTGTAGCCCGGTACATTAGACGTTTCAGTTGCTTGGGTTTGTGTGATTGGGTTGCATTGTAGTTAAGTGTGACTATCATTGGTAACATACCTACAATTGCTGACTATACTCTCGGTTACTGACCTACTTTCTTAACGGCCTCGCTCACAATCGGAGCAGTACTTTCCATGTAGACTCTACGAAGCAAGCACACAACGACACGTGTATCATTTTGCCTCAACGCGGCATCCAATCTCGTGCCATGCCCCCATCAGAATCACGTAACGCTATCCATTTCCTACCCCAACCCCTGAAAACTTCCTTGGTGGCTTTTGCTCACTCCCGCTCTCCCCTCTTCTCTCTGCTCCAATAGCCAAGGCTCCACTCACTCTGGTCTTACAGGGCTTACGCTTCTTGCGCCTTACCCTTTTCCGCCTCAGCTCAGGCGTCTTTTTCGAGTCGTTCCTCGGGAGTTTCGGCAAGTCTCTAGCCCCCATTACGCAGTTACTGATCCCTCGCGCTCTGATCTGTGCCGTGTTCTTTCCTTGTCGAGAGAGCTTACGAGGATCAGCATAAGAATCTTGCCGAGAGGCTTGTTTCTTATACCTCTAGCTTCTAGCTAGCAGGGCGAGACCATGGCTGCGGCTGCACGAGCGGCTGCTTACGTGGCAGCGGGGAGTATAGCGCTGTCAGGCCGACCTCAGGGAACCCGAAGATGGTCCGCCAGTATCTCTCTAAGCGGCGGTTTGGCACTTCGGCGGAACGATAGGTGTGCTTATAGCGAGCGTTTGTATTATTATTGGTCTTTAAATTGCTTATACCGTAAAATCGTTTGAGCTAGCAATTGCCATTTGTCAGCGTTCACCCATGCTCTCACGTGCACTTCTCCACGCGTCCTTCTCAAATGTTCTGCTTTGAAACCACGCAGATGCGTTCGCCAGGCTCCGCGATCGCCGATGTGGGTCTGTGCAATGGACGCCTCCTTCGGCGACGGTACGCATTCTTTTGAGACTGTCGCTCTTGCAACAATACGCATTTCCCCCTTGGCTGCCGCTAGGCGTTCCAAGAAGTCAATTTCCCTATATTCAACCTCCTTATTCATCCATTTTTGCCCGGGAACGTATTCGTCGTAATTCCTTCATGCTTGCTTTGGCTTGCAGGACCATAGGTCCTTTTTCGTTCAATACCCTGATCACCCGTGTCACGTCGCTTCCGCTCACCGCCACCGTTGCAGTTTCCTCGCATATGAAACCACGGCCCTTACCAGCACGCTTCACTTGCTCGCAAAATCACTTTCCGCATCTGTTGTTTTTCGTACTGTATCTCCACAATTCTTGACCAACTTAACATTTTCCAGAGGCGCCAAAGGTGTTCCCGCGCATCGGGACCCGCGACCCGTACAAGCGCCTCGGGCTCGGCCGCGACGCGTCGACGGAGGAAATCACGGAGGCGAAGAACTACCTGGTGGAGGAATACAAGGGGCACGAGCGGAGCCGCGAAGCGATCGAAGAGGCTTTCGATAAAATCATCGCGGAGAAGTTCAGAGAGAGGCGGAAGACTAAGATCAACCTCAAGGTGTGTGGGTATCTTAATCGATCTCGCTTATGAAAATATTAAGGGAAAAAGGAGCGGGGAACCCATACAGGAGCCGCGACCACCAGCATCGGCAGGGGTTTGGCGAGGATGCATGGGATGCGTCGGCGACTTTTGAGGCGCCTAAGAATCGCCTTTTTGAGGCGCCTAAAAATTATCTTTATGAGGCGCCTCAAAAATAGTAGGTGGGGATGGGGAGGAGGATGCATGGGATGCGTCGACAGATGGAGATGAGAGAGGGGAATAGCTTTTTGGAGGCACGAAGAATGCAACAGTGCAATGATGTTCCCTGGCCCAAGTTTTGTCCTTCTTAACCCCGAAACCTTGATAACGGCCTCGTTCTTGTCATCCCACCATCATTTGATTGATTGATTGAATTCATCGAATTGTTTTTTTTCCCTCCCCTGTCTCCCTCCATCTCGCCCATGTCCACCATCTCCCCACCCCCCTCCAGTTCGCCAGCACCTGAGTCCCTCTATCTCTCTCATTTTCCTCCACTGCACTCTCGCACTCACCCTCACTCGCTGCAGGCCGATCTCAAGAAGGTGGCTGAGGCTCCCCCATGGACCCAGGCGCTGATCGACATGGTGGACGTGCCCACGCCAGCAGTTATTGCGCAGCTGCTCTGATGTCCAAACCCCTCGCATGTCACCCCCTGCCTCCAACACCTCACTCCCCCCCAGGCTGATCTCAAGAAGAAGGTGGCTGAGGCCCCTCCCTGGATTCAGGCGCTCATCGACATGGTGGACGTGCCCAAGACAGCAGTCATTGCACAGCGGGGGGTGCTCTTTGCGCTCATTGCCGTCTGGAGTATCATGAACCCCGCTGAGGGCGGGCCTGCATTCCAGGTGAGGTTTATGGTCTTAAATGGAAAACCATTCCCAAGGGAAGAATCAGTGGTGCATGTGAGCATAAGACTGCAGGCCAATTGTCACCGAAGCAGGAACAGCAGGAGTGGCTGGCTCCAGTGATGACGAGTCAGGCATGGTTTGGCATGGCTTGGCTGACATGGCTTGGCATGGTGTGGGTGCAGTGATGACGACCTTTCAGTGGGCGATCTCACCTGTGAGACGTGAGCCATCACTTTGGCTTGTATTCCCTGAGCACCCACCCGCTCGCCTTGCCTCCATCTCTTTGCTGCTCGCTGCCTGCTCCCTGCCTTCACGCTGCTTGATTCGACAAAAGAGCACCTCCTTTGAATTGGCTAAAATTCACCTCCTTTGAGTCGACTAAAAATCGCCTCCTTTTGACTCGACTAAAAAGCACCTCCTTTGACTCGATTAGAAAGCGCATCCTTTCGAGTCGACCAAAAACCACCTTCTGCTGCACCCACCTTCCCCTGTGTCTTGCCCTGTGTCTTCCCCTTGCCTCCAATGCCTTTCCCTCTGCAGGTTGCGGTGGCTCTTGGTCTCTCAGTGTACCTCATCAACGAGCGACTTAAGAGCATCACCAGAGCACTCATTATTGGGTATGTGGGTTCTACCTCTTGACATGCAAAACAAGACAGAAGGGTTTGCCCTGGCTGTCACTTGAATTTGCTTCACAAGGTGCCGTGCTTCCCCTTGTGCTTGTGTCGTTTCCTGTGACCTGGGCCAATCTGCAGCCAACCATGTGGAATCTCCCTGTGCTTTTGTCAATCCTCTTTGTCTCTGTGCTCCCAATCATCCAGATTCGCAACGCTCGTGGTGGGTTGGATCACCAGCTCCTTCCTGGTGCCTTTTGTCCCGGAGGGCCTTTTCCAGCACCTAGGCATGCCCCTAAACCCATGTTTCTTTGTGTCACCGCCCCCCTCAACCTTGCAGGTTTGCCACGCTTGTGGTGGGTTGGATCACCGGTTCGTTCCTGGTGCCGTTCATCCCGGAGGGCATTTTCCCTGGGTTCTGGAGTCTGGAGCTGGGCACGTCCCTGGTCACCTACGTGTTCCTCTGGTTCTCCACCACTTTCCTCAAGTGAAAACGGATCTACACATCCACTGTAGTACTACTGAGACTCTGAATAGATGCTGAATTGCTAGATAATGCTGGAATATCAACTCCTGGAGTTTGGAGCTTGACACGTCCCTGGTCGCCTACTTGTTCCTCAAGTGAAAACGGGATCCATAGTAGAGTACTGATTGGTGGAGATTGTAGTACAAGTTAACCATTTCGGGTAAACATCTTGTAAATGCCACCAGCAGTTCATGTAGGACATTAGGGAGGGAACCTTAGTATTTCGAATTTGTCAAGTTGACTTTAAAAGCATTTGGGTCAACTATGAGAAGGGTCGAAAAAAAAACTCTCCCTGCTATTAAAACAATGCCCCGTCCAATTCACAGCCACTTACATTTCGATTGAAATATTCTACTCACCGACTCCACTGGGGATCGAACCCAGAATCTCTGGTTCCGTAGACCAGCGCCTTATCCATTGGGCCATGGAGTCACGTCGAGAAACTAGTATAAAAGGTTAATGTAAATTATGTTTTTACTTTCCCAAGATGTCAGTTGGTGAGGTGTGTCAGGAACCACCTCAAGTGTCTCTAGCTTCGCTTCGACTAGATTCCCAAGTCATTTTCGCCTCGCCACATTCTCCCCCCCCATTGTCGCTCGCCGTGCGTCTAATACCTCCCGTGGTACCCTTCGTTTCCCGCCTAGCGTCTCAGCAGTCGGCATGGGATCTTAGGCGGGAGCAGTGGTTGGTTCCGGCCTGCATAGGAGAACCGGATAGTAGGCTTAGTAGGCGGCCTGAGTAGGCGACCTTAGTAGGTGAGCTTAGTAAGCGGCCTGAGTAGGCGGCCTGAGTAGGTGACCTTAGCAGGTGGCCTTGCGGACGTGTTGGAGGGCTGGATAGGAAGGAAGTCTTACCGGTCTGAGAGGGGTTTCTTTCAATGGCGGCGCAAGACCCGTTTTACCTCGTCCGCGACGAGATACAAGATTCGGTACGCGATGGAATCTAGGTACAAGCATAGTGAAATACTCGATACAGGATTCCGTGCGCCATGGAATCTAGGTATTCAGTGTGTGTTGTAGAGGGATATGCGGGAATCTAGGTGCGTTGTGAATTATAGGTAAGCAGTGTTCTAATACGCGAATCCGGTCACTGGACTCGAACCCTAGCGGAAGGTGAAACGCAGAGTTGGATACGCTATAATATTGAGCGCTTTAGTGAGACTTCATCAACTGCGGTGAATTATATGAATTCCGAGTTTGGTATGCAATGGCGTCAAGGTTCTTAGGATGAGCCGTATTGTGGTGAAGGCGAGATTATTTGTTCTGTAACGTGATATTGCCCAGCTGATTTTATGAGGATTCAAATGTCACCTTTTGAGTCGATTCAAATGTCACCTTTTGAGTCGATTCAAATGTCACCTTTTGAGTCGATTCAAATGTCACCTTGTTCTGTAGCGTGATGATTTTCAGGGATTGGAAGTTTCTCGAATTTGGAGATTTCAGCTCTGGTGATAGATACTAGGACTCTTTACAGTCACCATGGTGTTCGTGATGCACGCGCATTCGCGATATAAAGTCCACGACTCGATAGCGTAACCCGAATGGACTGTTCCAAAACGTCTCTACTGCTTCTTAGTCGTCTCGCCCTATTCCGTTTCCTCTTCGTGTCGCCTCGTTATGACCTTGTTTGCCCTGTGCCAAGTGGGAGGCGACTAGTGAAACGTAAATAGACTCGAGAGTGCTCGCCCCCCCATTCCCTTTCCGCGATCCCCCCCAGGTATCCAAGATGCATGACGACGATGCCACGTGGGCGCGGCTCATGAGCCTTGATTTCACTCCAGGGTGTTTCCGTCTTCTCCTCTCCCACCCCTCTCAACCCCCTCCTACCCCCTCCTACCCCTCTTCCTTCCAGGTATCCAAGGTTCAAGATGACTACAGCAAGTGGGAGCGGTTAACAGCGAGCAGCCCTGAGAGAGACGCACTGTCCAAGACAATACTGGCGGACACAGAGACACTGGAGTGGGAGGTGGGTGACTGGGTGACTGGGTGACTTTCCTTGTCACGGGTACAAGGTAAGTGAATTGTGTTCTCAGGTGAGTAGAGTAGGTTATCTTAGGTAGACGAGGGGGAGAGTCGCTCTTTCCAAGAGAATACTGGCGGACACAGAGACACTGGAGTGGGAGGTGAGCGAGCAAGCCTCTCAGGTAAATAGAGGAGGTTATCTTAGGTACACGGGGGGGAGACACGCACTGTTTTTGAGTCGACTCAAAAGCAGTCACATTACACGCGGTTTTTGAGTCGACTCAAGAGTAGGTTATCTTAGGAACACGAGGGGGAGAGACGCGCTTTCCAAGACAATGCTGGCGGACACAGAGACATGGAGTGGGACGTGGGTCGGTTTTCCAGGGGTGATTTGATGGTGCTTTAATATCGATGAGAGCATCTGTGTGCGATTTTTGTTTCTTTTAAAAAATCATCGACAATACTGGCTGACACAGAGACACTGGGAGTGGGAGGTGGTGGGTGATTTACTTGTCAAATATACAAGGGAGGGCAAATCAGAAATAAATAAGTGAACTGTGTTCGCATGAGTGGTTCTTATAAGCATGAGAGCACGCTTGGTCAATGCAGTATTGTGCAATTTTGTGCTTCCGTTTTCCCCATCCCCTCCTTGGGAAGCTAGAGGAACTGGAGGGGAGGACACAAAGTCAATTGGTGTAGCAGAGAGAGAGAGACATAGACAATTGTCTCTCTCGCGAGTCAACGCAAAGTACGGCGAGCCAATTCCATCCTGTCTTCCTTCCCTCCCATCCCGTCACTCTGACAGCTGGAAGAGCTCGACAGAGCTGTAGGCGTGGCAGAAAGGGACCCATCCCGCTTCAACATAGAGCCGGGGGAGGTGGAGTCACAACTGGCCCGTTCCTTTCTCTCCCTCCCAGCCCTCCCATCCCTCCCAGCCCTCCCATCCCTCCCATCCCTCCCATCCCTCCCATCCCTCCCATCCCTCCCATCCCTCCCAGCCCTCCCATCCCTCCCATCCCTCCCATCCCTCCCATCCCTCCCATCCCTCCCATCCCTCCCATCCCTCCCATCCCTCCCAGCCCTCCCAGCCCTCCCATCCCTCCCATCCCATCCCTCCCATCCCATCCCTCCCATCCCATCCCTCCCATCCCTCCCATCCCTCCCATCCCTCCCATCCCTCCCATCCCTCCCATCCCTCCCATCCCTCCCATCCCTCCCATCCCTCCCATCCCTCCCATCCCTCCCATCCCTCCCATCCCTCCCATCCCTCCCATCCCTCCCATCCCTCCCATCCCTCCCATCCCTCCCATCCCTCCCATCCCTCCCATCCCTCCCATCCCTCCCATCCCTCCCATCCCTCCCAGCCCTCCCATCCCTCCCATCCCTGCAGCTGGAAGAGCTCGACAGAGCAATCGGCGTGGCGGAGCGAGACCCCTCGCGGTTCAACACAGAGCTGGGGGAGGGGGAGTCGCGGCGCAAGTGGACAGGCAGCATGCGACTGTGTTAATCCTTTTGTCTGTCCCGATTCCTTCCCTCCCATCCCGCGATTCCAACAGTTGGAAGAACTCGACAGAGCAATTGGCGTGGCAGAAAGGGACCCATCCCGCTTCAACATAGAGCAGGGGGAGGTGGAGTCGCGGCGCAAGTGGACAGGCAGCACGCGGGATCAAATCGCCATGATCCGATCTGCCATCCAGGCAGCGGCGGCGGAGCGGGCGGCGATGCAGAAGGAGGCGGAGAGGCGGGAGCTGCTGAGAGCGCAGGCTGGCGCCGCTGCCAAGGCGGCTGCTAAGAGCAGCGCTGGTGGGGAGAATGAGAGCTTTGCCGCTTCAGAGGATGACAGACAAGCGCTTATAATGAGGTAGGTGCTTATAATGAGGTACGTGCTTGTAATGAGGTACGTGCTTATAATGAGGTGCATGCTGCTAATGAGGTAGTTGCTTATGATGAGATGCATCCTTATTGTGAGGTACAAGACGTGCTTTGCAAGATCCAGAAGGAGGCGGAGAGGCGGGGAGCTGCTGAGAGCGCAGGCTGGTGCTGCTGCCAAGGCTGCTGCTAAAAGTGGAAGGGGGGTGGGTGGTTGTGGGAATGGTGCTACTAGTGGGAAAAATGGGGGTTTGCTGCTTCAGAATGTGACAGACAAGCGCTGATATTGAGGTGAGAGCTTATAATGAGGTATTATGATCTGTTCTGGGCTAGCTTATGCAATTGCTGTTTGACGTTTGTTCATATTCGCTAATGGGGTCACCATGGATTCCATATAGTCACACCTGCCACTCACTGAGGTGGGCATCAATAATATGTGGAATACACCACTTTTCAGTTATGTGGTACCTAGTGCTTAGTGTCTGCGTTTTTCTGTTCTTGATTATGCTTCTAACGGGTACAGGGAGCAGGACGATCAACTGGACGCCATGAGTCAGAGCCTAGCGCGCATTGGAGGCATGGGCATCGCCATTCACGAGGAGCTAGGGTCCCAGGTGAGGCCTCAGGTGCTCAGGTGTTATCTCAGGTGCTTGAATTGGAGGCATGGGCATTGCCATTCACGAGGAGCTAGGGTCCCAGGTGAGGCGTCAGGTGCTCAGGTGTTATCTCAGGTGCTTGAATCGGAGGCATGGGCATCGCCATTCACGAGGAGCTGAGGTCCCAGGTGAGCTGTCAGGTGGTCAGGTGACTTATCAGGTGGTCATCGCTATTCATGGGCCTCTCAGGCGAGCTCAGGTTACTTTTCAGGTGGTTAAGTAACCCGCTCAGGGTGACAGGGGTCAAGGCTGGATGCGTGGCGTCGCTTTCACAAGGAGATTCAGTGCCAGGTGGTCAGGTGATTTTCCAGGTGGTCTGGTGAGCTGCCGTTTGATCAGGTTACTGCATGCTCATGTATCCTCCCTAGCTTACTTCCTTGACGTGACACTGCAAACTGCTCATGTGACACTGTGAGTGTGACACTGCTCATGCTCGCTCTCCCCTCCCTCCCAACCCCCCTCCCTCTCTCCCCTCCTCCAGGAGGGGTTGATAGGAGAGCTGGACCACGGCGTGGAGAGGAACGAAGGGCGGCTACGCCTGGTTGTCGCTCTGCCATTGTCTCTCCCTCCGCTTTCACCCTCCCCCCCCCCATTGGCAGCAGTGGTTGATAGGAGAGCTGGACTAAGGCGTGGAGAGGACCGGAGGACCGGAGAACTGGCAGGCGGCTAGAGCTGGTTGTCGATCTGCCCATTGCCTCTTTTCCGCTCCCCCTCTCCCTCCCATTCTCCACTTGTGCCAGGAGTCATTGATAGGAGAGCTGGACGACGGCATGGAGAGGACCGGAGGGCGGCTAGGGCTTGTTCAGGTGAGACGAGACCTGGTTCAGGTGATTCCTGGTTCAGGTGATTCCTGGTTCAGGTGATTCCTGGTTCAGGTGATTCCTGGTTTGGTTGATTCCTGGTTCAGTTTAGGGGATACCTGGTGCAGGTATTATGCGTTTCAGGTGAGACCTGGGTCAGGTGCTGCTAAACGTAAAGATAATTTTGGTATTTCGTTCCTTGTACAGGTGCTCCGTTAAACGTTCATTTCAGTGTTCCATGGTTCCCCTCTCTTAAACTGGGCTTTAAGCGTCGTCAGTGTTCCATGGTTGCCCTTTTTTTAAGTCCTACGCCCCACCCCCTCGTCCCCCTCCCCTTTCTTCCCTTCTCGTGTTCCTTGCCACTTTCCCATTACGGTGGTTCTGAGAACGGTCGGCCTCAGGGATCTTCTAAGTCAACTTACGTCCCTCTCACCCCCCCTGTTCCTCCCCCTCCTCCCCGCTCCTCCCTTCTCCTCCCGTCTCCCCCCCGTACCTTCACCTTTTCCGCTAGTCACAGAAAAATATGACAGCGGCTGATGAAAAGGGTGGGGCCCGCTTGAGTCGACTCATCTCCCCCTCTTCTACCCTCCCTAACTCAGAATGAGATGAGCCTATTTTTGAGGCGCCTCAAAAATGGACTCTTCTACCCTCTCCAAACTCGGAATGAGATGAGTCTATTTTTTAGGCGCCTCAAAAATAGACTCTTCTACCCTCCCCAAACTCAGAATGAGATGAGTCTATTTTTTAGGCGCCTCAAAAATAGACTCTTCTACCCTCCCCAAACTCAGAATGAGATGAGTCTATTTTTTAGGCGCCTCAAAAATAGACTCTTCTACCCTCCCAAACTCAGAATGAGATGAGTCTATTTTTGAGGCGCCTCAAAAATAGACTCTTCTACCCTCCCAAACTCAGAATGAGATGAGTCTATTTTTGAGGCGCCTCAAAAATAGACTCTTCTACCCTTCCCAAACTCAGAATGAGATGAGCCTATTTTTGAGGCGCCTAAAAAATAGACTCTTCTACCCTCCCCAAACTCAGAATGAGATGAGTCTATTTTTTAGGCGCCTCAAAAATAGACTCTTCTACCCTCCCCAAACTCAGAATGAGATGAGTCTATTTTTTAGGCGCCTCAAAAATAGACTCTTCTACCCTCCCAAACTCAGAATGAGATGAGTCTATTTTTGAGGCGCCTCAAAAATAGACTCTTCTACCCTCCCAAACTCAGAATGAGATGAGTCTATTTTTGAGGCGCCTCAAAAATAGACTCTTCTACCCTTCCCAAACTCAGAATGAGATGAGCCTATTTTTGAGGCGCCTAAAAAATAGACTCTTCTACCCTCCCAAACTCAGAATGAGATGAGTCTATTTTTGAGGCGCCTAAAAAATAGACTCTTCTACCCTTCCCAAACTCAGAATGAGATGAGCCTATTTTTGAGGCGCCTAAAAAATAGACTCTTCTACCCTCCCAAACTCAGAATGAGATGAGTCTATTTTTGAGGCACCTTAAAAATAGACTCTTCTACCCTCCCCAAACTCAGAATGAGATGAGTCTATTTTTGAGGCGCCTCAAAAATAGACTCTTCTACCCTCCCCAAACTCAGAATGAGATGAGTCTATTTTTTAGGCGCCTCAAAAATAGACTCTTCTACCCTCCCAAACTCAGAATGAGATGAGTCTATTTTTTAGGCGCCTCAAAAATAGACTCTTCTACCCTCCCAAACTCAGAATGAGATGAGTCTATTTTTGAGGCACCTCAAAAATAGACTCTTCTACCCTTCCCAAACTCAGAATGAGATGAGCCTATTTCTGAGGCGCCTAAAAATAGACTCTTCTACCCTCCCCAAACTCAGAATGAGATGAGTCTATTTTTGAGGCACCTCAAAAATAGACTCTTCTACCCTCCCCAAACTCAGAATGAGATGAGTCTATTTTTGAGGTGCCTCAAAAATAGACTCTTCTACCCTCCCAAACTCAGAATGAGATGAGTATATTTTTGAGGCGCCTCAAAAATAGACTCTTCTACCCTTCCAAACTCAGAATGAGATGAATTTATTTTTTAGGCGCCTCAAAAATAGACTCTTCTACCCTTCCCAAACTCAGAATGAGATGAGCCTATTTTTGAGGCGCCTAAAAAATAGACTCTTCTACCCTCCCAAACTCAGAATGAGATGAGTCTATTTTTGAGGCGCCTAAAAAATAGACTCTTCTACCCTTCCCAAACTCAGAATGAGATGAGCCTATTTTTGAGGCGCCTAAAAAATAGACTCTTCTACCCTCCCAAACTCAGAATGAGATGAGTCTATTTTTGAGGCACCTCAAAAATAGACTCTTCTACCCTCCCCAAACTCAGAATGAGATGAGTCTATTTTTGAGGCGCCTCAAAAATAGACTCTTCTACCCTCCCAAACTCAGAATGAGATGAGTCTTTTTTTTAGGCGCCTCAAAAATAGACTCTTCTACCCTCCCAAACTCAGAATGAGATGAGTCTATTTTTGAGGCACCTCAAAAATAGACTCTTCTACCCTCCCAAACTCAGAATGAGATGAGTCTATTTTTGAGGCACCTCAAAAATAGACTCTTCTACCCTTCCCAAACTCAGAATGAGATGAGCCTATTTCTGAGGCGCCTAAAAATAGACTCTTCTACCCTCCCCAAACTCAGAATGAGATGAGTCTATTTTTGAGGCACCTCAAAAATAGACTCTTCTACCCTCCCCAAACTCAGAATGAGATGAGTCTATTTTTGAGGTGCCTCAAAAATAGACTCTTCTACCCTCCCAAACTCAGAATGAGATGAGTATATTTTTGAGGCGCCTCAAAAATAGACTCTTCTACCCTTCCAAACTCAGAATGAGATGAATTTATTTTTTAGGCGCCTCAAAAATAGACTCTTCTACCCTCCCAAACTCAGAATGAGATGACAATGGCACTCAAGAAGACCAAGAACGAGCTCAAGGATCAGCTTCCAGTTAACTTGCCCTCTTCCTGCCTTCCCCTCTTTCCTCGTTCTGCTCCCCCCCCCCCCCAGTTCTCCATTGTCAAATGCAGAAAAGATTACGGTGGCAATGAAAAAGGCCGGGCCACCTTGAGTGCTCATCTCGCCCTCTTCTGCGTCTCCCCTCGCCCTCCATTCTCCCTCGTCAAATACAGGAAAAGACGACAGTGGTGTGGACGAAGGCTAGGCTCGAGGATCAGCTTCCAGTCAGCTCACCCTCTCCGCTCCCCCCCCCCCCCCCGCCCCCCTTGCCCCGTTCGCCATTGTCAAAGCCGGAAAGAAATGACAGTGGTGCTGAAAAAAGGCTGGGCCAGCTTGAGTCAACTCACCCTCTTCCTGCCTTTCCCTCGTCTTTTTCGTTCCCCTCTCCCTCCATCCTCTCATGTCAAGCTCAGAAGCAGATGACAGTGCAGTGGGCTAAAAAAGGCATGGCTCAAGGGGCATCTGTGCATTCTCCTCAACTCACCCTCTTCCTGCTCCCCCCTCTTCCCTCGTTCCCCTCTCCCTTCTCCCTCCTTTGCCAAACACATAAAAATATGACAGTGGTTCTCAAGAAGACGGGGCTCAAGGGGCAGCTCTGCATTCTCCTCAACTCACCCTCGTCCTGCCTTCCCCTCCCTGTCGTTCCACCTTGCCCCCCTTCCTTTTTCCATCACCAAATGCAGAAAAAGATGACAGTGGTTCTCAAGAAGGCCGGGCTCAAGGGGCAGCTCTGCATTCTCCTCGCCCTCGTCATTGCATTCCTCGTGCTCCTCATCCTTATCTTCTATGACTGATACGAGCAGTATCCCCTTTATTGCGCTCCTCATCATCGCGTTCCTCGTGCTCCTCATCCTTATCTTCTATGACTATCTCGAGCTGTTATCCCCCGTATTGTGCTACCCATAATTGCATCCTGGGTATGACTAGTTGCAGCAGCTATATGTACATACACCCTCCTTGCCCATGCAAGCAATGTGAGCCCACTACATGTTCCTCTCCCATTCTCATCTTTACTAGATTCAGCTTTGCAATATACGGTATCGGACGGAACCGCTACATCTTAAAGCCTGTGGCCCAAATTGCGAGGCGCGACTTTCAAGCACACTGCGTTTGAAAGACACGTTTTCGTGGGTGTAGATACGGGTAACATGACTCGCGTCACTTGGGGCTGGCTTTCAAGTTCAGCGCGGAACGTATTTTGGGACACCAAGTGCCTCGCGTTTTTTAGCCGTCCAGTATTTGTCGATTTCCATCTAACGGCGCGCAAGCAAAGTGCTTCCCCCAGTCAATCGAAATGTAATCATGCAAATCGGACGATCTACGACAAATGACGAATTCGCGACATGAAATACCCTCACGAGTTTCCTGTATATTTCGTCCAGGCCGAGGCTCACAGTTCATACGCAGTGCGTATGAACAATTTGGGCCGCGGGTTTTAAGTGTTGTTGGGCTGAGAAAAGCCCTTGGGATCTTTTGCAGAGACTAAGTCCCAGCTGTAAAGACTTGAGACTTGGAGTAGTGCAGCGGAAGTTGAGACGGTTGAACCCTTGTACTAGTATGTGAGAACAAGTGATTGATTGAAGAAACAAGCATACAGCAATATATAGAAGATAAGAAAGCAGTTGTAGAATACAGTTACAGGAACGGTTTATCGAGTCGCACAGCGACTCGATTGCCGCTTCGGTTACCATCCGTGATGTTGTAACGGTCAGTCGCAACCTCCAGTTGCGACCTTTCGAGTCCTTTCGCATTCTTTGTCCGCCCCCTCGTGTAACCTCCGTTGACTCGCGTGCTCCCCTGTAATCTTCCTCGAGTACAGTGTTACACTTCAGAAACGCTTAAGTCCTTGAGATATTTCCAACACTCCCCTTCGTTTCTGGAGTGCTGGAGTGTTCAGATCCGGTGACGTTTGTTTGCCCGGTTAGGAGCATGCAGTAGTCGAATTTTGCTTTCGCCAATTTCTTCGTCAAATAGTCTGCGGCCATTTCTGTCGTCGGGCAGTAACTGAGTTGAAGTCTCCCCTTCGCGATTTCATCCTTGACGAAGAAGTACCGCAGGGCGATGTGCTTGGTTCGGTTGGCGAAGCCGTCCTTGTTCGCGATTTTTATCGCAGATTGGTTGTCGCAGAGGAGTGAGAAGGTGGGCAGGGTCGCGATCTTCGCTTCTTCGAGTAACTCTCGTAGGTAGAGTCCTTCCTTGGTCGCAGTACAAAGGGCGATATACTCTGCTTCAGCCGAGGATAGTGCGATTAACTCCTGCTTGCTCGACTGCCAGGAGATAGTTCCGATAGGTTCTAGTCGGTAGATGTAGCCCGTCCTAGACCGTCGATTTTCGCTGTCTCCCGCGTGGTCGGCGTCGACGTATCCGAGTAGTCGTACGGACGGTGTTGTTGCCTTGCTGTAGGTGAGCCCGATCGTCGGCGTGGAGACGAAGTAGAGTAGCGCTCGATTGAGTTCTTCGAGATCTTCCTGTTGCGGCTGCTTCAGATGTGTCGCCAGCTGACTCGCACTATAGGATAGGTCGGGTCGGCAGGTTACTGTTGCGAATAGTAGGCAGCCGAGCTTCTGTTGATACTCCTGGATTTGTTTCGCGGGGAGTTTTGTGGAGGCGCTACTGTTGTTCCCGTAGCGGTAGGGAGTTGGGACCGCAGTCGGTGTTAGACCGAATTTCTTCGCGACGGTGCTTGAGTACTTTCCAGCGTGTAGGTAGAACGCCGTGTCGTCTTCGACGACGTTCAGTCCTAGGTACTGCGTCACCTCGTCGGACACCGTGAGCGTTAGGTCCCTTTTCAGCTCCCCTTCGAACCAGGTGACGATGTCGGTGGTAGAACCGATGTAGAGCAGGTCGTCGACGTAGACGATGAGCAGAATGTAATCTCTTCCCTTCTGTAGTCGGTACATGCCTTGGTCATGTGGTAACTGTAGGAATCCGATTTTTACGAGCCGGCCGTGAAGGTGCTGCTGCCAGAGCCGTGGGGCTTGCTTGATCCCGTAAAGGGATTTTTCCAGCTGGCATACTTTTGAAGGGTCGTCGATGAATCCGTGGGGTTGTTCGACGAAGATTTCGGCGTCCACAGGTGCGTACAAGAAGGCGTTTGCAACGTCGATTTGCCGTAGTGGTAGTTTCTTCGTGGCCGCGATGGCGAGTAGGATGCGCAGGGAGGTGTGACGGGAGACTGGAGCGAAGGTTTCTGTGTAGTCGGTTCCGTATCGTTGATCGAAACCTCGTACGACCCATCGAGCTTTGAATCGTTCGATGGAGCCGTCTGAGTTGGTCTTGATGCGGTACACCCATTTCCCCGAGAGAATGTTCTTCCCGTTGATGCTCGTTGCAGGTACCAGTTTCCATGTTTCTCGGTCTTGCAGAGCTTTTAACTCTTTTTCCATCGCTTCCTTCCATTGTGCCTTATGTTCCCCCCCCAGAGCCTGCGACAGGGTCGACGGCTCGCGCGGAGAAGGCGGCGGCGGGTGCTGGACGGAGACCCATAGTCCTAGGATCTGCAGTCCCGTGGCTGTGTGTCGAGGGGAGTTTTCATTCTCGGGATAAGCTGCTTCATCACCGTCTTCAGGATCGGGTAAGAAGTTTGGCCCGATGCGTTCGGAAATATTCGAGTCGACGGGGTGTGGTGTAGCGTAGCCTTGGTCAGCGAAGTGGTAAAAGGTGTCGAGGTTGTTGCTATCGAGGGGATTATCTTCATCGAGTGGAACAGGTACGGAGCAGTAGGGGAGTGGTCCGGCAGCCTCCGAGGCTCCAGGGACGTCTTCTTCTGCTGCGTCAGCCTCGGCAGCATGGTCAGCGAAGGAGCGAAGGCCCGCGAAGCCGTCGGTGGGGTCGTCTGAGTTGGCAATGTTGTCCAGGTAATGCTGCAGCGTCAGTCGCTCGTAGAAGATAACATCACGTGATGCCACCGTATTTTTGTCGTGTATGTCGAGAATCTTCCACGCGTGAAAATGTTTGGCGATGCCGAGGTGTAGTCCCCACCGAGCTCGTTGAGTGAAGCGTCCTGCTCGAGCTGTGTGGGGTCTGTATTGTACCATGCAGCCGAAAACTCGAAGTAATTTTGTGCTGCCCCTTTTTCCCGTCCACAGCAGGTGCGGTGATGCGTTGTTGGGGAGCGATGACGAGGACAACAGGTTGTGCAGGTGGACTGCATGTGTCATCGCGTCTGGCCACAGTGTATTGGGCAGTCTCATCCCCAGGAGCAGCTTTCGCATCGTCGTCTGCAAGGTCCGGTTCATGCGTTCGGCGACCCCCTGCTGCTGGTGAGCGTATGGTAGGGACACCAGGCGCTTGATTCCTCTTTCCGCCAGATAGGTCCTGAAGCGTTGTGACTGGTATTCTAGGGCACCGTCTGACTGGAAGCTTTTGAGCTTGGTTCCTGATTCCCGCTCGGCGATGGGGAGCCATGTTGTGAAGGCGTCGAAGGCTTGATCGCGCGTCTTGAGGTTGTAATGCCAAGTGTATCTTGTTGCTGCATCGACGAAGGTGATGACGTAGTTGAAGTCGGCTTCCGTGTCGTCTCGAGGCATGTTCAAGATGTCGCTGTAGACTTTTTCCATCGTTGCATATGCAGGCGCGCTTGGATTATGATGGGATGGGAAGGGTTGATGAGGAAGATCTGCTTCGGGGCACGTGAAGCATCGTGCTCTTGGTCGGCGAAGTTCTTGGCCGCTCGTCGTTAGAAGGGCGTTACGTTCTAACACCTCTGCTTGGATTGTTTGAAGTATTGTGCTGTTTGCAGGGTGTCCGAGGCGTTGGTGCCAGATGTCGTCGGGAGCACGGTGACCGGGCGAGCGGTGGTAGATGTCGGCGTTGGAGAAGAACGCGACGACCGAGGCGGGACTTCGACAAGCTTCTCGTGTGGCGGGCATAAGTTGGTCTGCCTCCGTTGGCGGTCCTCGTGTTGATGGTGGTGGTACTCGGCTGGGTCCTGCTGCCGATACTGCAGGTGATGGTTTTGTTGGGACACTTGCGGGTACTTGTCTTTCTTGTCTGATAACTGCTAATGCTCGTGTTCTCTCTGCTGCAGGTATGGTGTTGGAGTGCCAGAAGCCGTCACTGTCGAAGTCGGGATCAAGATCCGGCGGGTGAGTCCAGGCGGCGAACGATACGATGCCATCGCTGTCGGCAGTTCCGCGGTCGGGGACGAAGTCCAACACGAAGACACCGGACTTCAGGAGGGCACGACCGATGAAGAGGCCGCCCTTCCCGTGGTAAAGTCGGAACTCGTTGGAGAAGGAGTCGCACTCCAGGTGAATCCCCTTAGCCATTAGTTGGCTTACGCTTAGTAGGTTGTATCCCAGATTGTCGACGATGAGGACTTTGTTGAGCTGAAGAATAACGTTTGTCTCCATTGATTGTAACTGAACCACGCCTTGTCTGTTTGTTTTCAGGTTTTCGTTGTTGGCGACGGTGATGACGACGTCGCGGTTGAGGCGTCGCTCGTGTTGTACGAAGCGTCCGGAGGAGCACATGTGCTGACCGCAGCAACTGTCCAAGAACCAGGTGTTCCGCCCGGTGGGTTCGGCGTTAGCGACTGCAGCGTATGTCGGGTTGACCTGAAGTCCTTGCGAGCGCGGCGGCGGGAATTCCTCTTCGTCTGGTGCGTAAGTGGGTGGTGAAGCGGGTGCGCAGTTGTCGATGTGTACCATGCAGTTGATGATGTTGGGTGTTTGTTCTGCAGATGTTGAAGAGCGCCTTGGAGGACTTGCTTGAGTGGAAGCGACTTGTGGGTCTGCTGCACGGTAAACGCGAGGGCGGTTGCAGTTGACCTTGGAGTGCCCGGAAGTCTGACAGTTGTGGCAGAACGGCGGCACGATGGTGAGTCCTCGGTTGTCGCGTTGATCTTGCTTGCTGCGTCGGTTGTAGTTGTTGTCATTTCTTCTTTGAGTGTAGAAGACTAACTGCTGTTGCTTCCTTGGTTGTCTTTCCTCGAACAGATCCATCTCCTGTTGTTCAGCGTGAAGCTCGGCGCAGAGGTGCATCTCCGAAATTCTTCCGTGGGCTCGAAGAAGTGATCGTGTGGTTCTCCATTCTGGCCCGAGCCCGGCGAGGACAAGTGTCACGAAGCTTTCTTCAGTGATCGTTCCTCCGCACCGAAGCAGGCGGTCGCGGAGGGTCTGGCAGCGACTCATATACTGCATCGCCTTTTCCCCGGTCTTCATCTGTATTGTTGTCAGCTGTTGCATGAGTCTGCTTTGTGTCACGCTGTCGTTTGCTTGGTAAAGGCACTTGAG